ATAAGCTTAGAAAACATTTTAATTTAAGTACAGTTTGTTAGGGTAATGCTTGATCTGGTGTGAAATGCAGTCGCTCTGCTGTGTATCGTGTCTGAACGCCCTTCAGACAGCTCTGTATATCGACTGTATCACACTGGCTCTCGTCTTACCGCCTCAGACTCCTGCTGCTCTGCTGAGCTCTGAAGCATCTGGTTTGGTCGAGTCTGGTCTGTATTGACCCATCAGGATGGGTTTTCCTCATGTGGTCTGTCAGATGTTCTTCATCAGAATCAGAGTTTAAATTAGACTCACAGATCTGATTAGAGTCCTGCTGATAGCGGGAAGAGTCCATCAGAGACGCCGCTCTACATGACAGAACACACACGTGAAGTTACTCAGAGACTGCAGAAGGGCAAACATGTGACCGCTGAGAGTCTCAGGCCTGTTTCACAGCATGTGATCATTTCAGCACTCATATGAGCAGATCACATTGTGTGGATAAAGCAGATGCTTTGGGTGAAGAACTTGTCACTGGATATATCAGAGGTCAGCAACCTGTGATGCGTGAAGAGCTTGGACAAGCCATTAGTGATCACTGCACAAACTGCAATGCATTTTTTAATGACATTTTAGGAACTTTTATATTTCAAAAGAATTTAAATCCTTATATGTCTATAAATGCTATTTAATTATACTATATATAAATACTTATACATACATATATACATACATACACATATATATATATATATATATATATATGTATATATATGTGTGTGTGTGTGTGTGTGTGTGTGTATGTGTGGTGTGGAGGATTTATGATCTAATATTCTGAGGTTTTCTCTCCAGGATTTTTCAGGAGTTTTGTTTGATGTGTTTAGTGGCAGCTAATCCTTTTTGAAGGAATGTCTGTGAAATAATCAGCATTAATACTCTTTGCAGATCGTAGCACTATTATTTGAACTATTTCAAATAAAGGACACATAAAACAAAATAGACTGTGATTGTTGATTGTTTTATTTAGTTAATTAAAGTAAAAATGTCCACAAATTCATTTTAGTATTAATTTTTGTTATGCAGCATACGATACAATTTCATCAGTTAGCCTTAAGATCTCAACAATATCAAAACTAAAGCAGACTAGAAACACAAAGTAATAGTGGTGGACTGAAGACTAACTGTCTCTCTGTCGGTCTCTCTGCAGGTTTCGTCTGCTGTGTCAGACGATCATCGCTCATAAGCTCTTTGACTATGTGGTTCTGGCTTTCATCTTCCTCAGCTGCATCACAGTGGCTCTGGAGAGACCCAGAATCCATCAGGGCAGTCTGGTACGGTTCCTCACTCTCTTTCACAGTCTCATCTGGCAGGAGTGACACAGTGATTTGCAGCTCCGCATGAATACTGTCACATCAGCGCTTGAGCTTCACACGGGAGAAACCAATGGGAAACTCCAGCTTTAATTCCACCTGAACGATCTGCACAGATCACGGCGGTGTAGCATCACATCCTACAATCAGACAGAAATAAAAAAACTAAATCTTGTTTTATGCAATGTTTTCTCAAAATATATTAAACATACTAAACTGAACATGTGTATTACTCATTGAAAACAGTCATGCACCCTAGTAAAGACTTATCAACCACCAGAACACCCTAGCGACCACTTCGAAACCAACAAGAACACTCCACCATATACCAACATTACAAAACACCCTAGTTACAACTTTTCAACACCCTAGCAACCACTTAGCAACCAACAATTACACTCCACCATGTACCAACATTATAAAACACCCTAGTAACAACTTTTCAACATCTTAGCAGCCACTTGCAACACCCTAACAACCACTTGGCAACCAACAAGAACACTCCACCATGTGCCAACAATACCAAACACCCTAGTAACAACTTTTCAATACCCTAGCAACCACTTAGCAACCAACAAGAACACTACACCATGTACCAACAATACCAAACACCCTAGAAACAACTTTTCAACACTCTAGCAACCACCAAGAACATCCCACCAACTATGTATCAACAATACAAAACAGCCTAGTAACACATTTTCAATGCCCTAGCAACCACCCACAGCACCCTAGCAACCACTTAGCAACCAACAAGAACACTACACCATGTACCAACAATACCAAACACCCTAGAAACAACTTTTCAACACCCTAGCAACCACCAAGAACATCCCACCAACTATGTATCAACAATACAAAACAGCCTAGTAACAACTTTTCAATGCCCTAGCAACCACCCACAACACCCTAACAACCACTTTGCAACCAACAGGAACATCACACCAACTATGTATCAACAATGCAAAACAGCCTAGTAACAACTTTTAAACACCCTAGCAGCCACTCCCAACACCCTAACAACCACTTAGCAACCAACAAGAACACTCTACCAACTATATATTAACAATACAAAACAGCCTAGTAACAACTTTTCAACACCTTAACAACCACTTAGCAACCAACAAGAGCACTCCACCATGTACCAACAATACCAAACACCCTAGAAACAACTTTTCAACCCCCTAGCAACCACTTAGCAACCAACAAGAACACTCCACCATGTACCAACATTACAAAACACCCTAGAAACAATTTTTCAACACCCTAGCAACCACTTAGCAACCAACAAGAACACTCCACCATGTACCAACATTACAAAACACCCTAGAAACAATTTTTCAACACCCTAGCAACCACTTAGCAACCAACAAGAACACTCCACCATGTACCAACAATACCAAACACCCTAGAAACAACTTTTCAACACCCTAACAACCACCAAGAACACAACTATGTATCAACAATGCAAAACAGCCTAGTAACAACTTTTCAATGCCCTTGCAACCACCCACAACACCCTAACAACCACTTAGCAACCAACAAGAACACTCTCCCAACTATGTATCAACAATAAAAAACACCTAACAACTTTTCAACACCCTAACAACCATCACAACACCCTAGCAACCAATTAGCAACCAACAAGAACAATTTACCAACTATGTATCAACAATACAAAACACCTAACAACATTTCAACACCCTAACAACCATCACAACACCCTAGCAACCACCCAAAACAGCCCAGCATGTGCTCTGATTGTGGAGCGCTAGCAAGCGCTCGTCCTGTAGCGTCTCAGTGGTGTTGATTGAGTGAAAGCGGTT